CAAGTCTTTTTATTTTTATTTTTATTTCTGGTAAAAGTTGATGAATTATTTGCATTATTGCAGTTGTTTTTCTGACGCGCATATATGGCAGGGCATTGTGATTTTTCACTATATATCCGATTAATTATTGATATATAAGTTAGGAACATTAAATTGGACAAAAATATCGTAGGCAAAATGCAGCTGAATTTTTTTGTCTATAAAAAATTAAATGAAATTGGACTTAATCTGAAAACAACTGAATTTTTCTGGATCAAAATGCTCAAAAGAAAATGTCTATGATATTTCTAAAGAAAGTAGAACTTTTATCATAAAACTAATTAACAATTTGAGGAATAGTCAAGCTACTTATAAGCACTCGCGATGTCCATCCTTCCATGCATCAATGTGATTAGATCCATTCTCTACATGCCCCCTTACACGTGGCGAATTTTCAAACCAAACACATGGACAACACAAATATGGTGATGTAGAGCAAGTGTAGCCGTTTTGGTTTTATACATGGGACAACCTGCTTTGTAACCATGAAGAAAGTTGAGGTTTCACTATAAAACCAATTACTTTAGCAATATGGGGAGAAATCAACTACTTATAAACTCTTATAATGTCTCTTCTCTCATCAATGTGTGATTCATTATCAACAATTTTAAGGATGACAAGGCCTTATAGTACTGCATCAAAAGGAGAGGCTACTAAATCATTTGCGTATAATTCTAACCTGCACGAACCAATTTTTCTGTCTCTAATAAAAGCATTCGATATCTTGGCATTTGTGGAGAACTTGCGATCTAATATCTGCTCTAAGATCTTTTGCTTATTCAAATGAACAAGGTTATACAGCATCACTCATTCATTATCTAAGATCATCCATTGTCTAAGATTCTAGATGTGATTTACAGTTGATAGTATCGATTTAAGAGAAACGACATAATAACAGTTTTTTTTTCCTTTATTTATAATTTTCGTTTAATAGAAATAAATAAAATAATTGTCGTTTATGAGCTGGATTTAGGATTTTATCCAACAAAGAACGTATATTAACTAATGGTACGTTGTTGATTATACCATAAGTGTAGGTCAATTGAAACATTTCATGTTGGATGCCATGTGTGTTACCAAGCAAGAATTGAGTTTACATTAATTCCATACATACACGGAATCATGTCAATACTTGAGCCAGATATTGAGTTAGTTAGACATCTTTTAGAACTAGTATGATTTAATTCAATTTCTTTTCCTGCTCAGGCTCAAAACTAGGGTTTTTTTGGTTTACCTCGACCGATACAACTAGGGTTTCATTTGGTTCAGCTCGACTGATGAAACTAGGTGTTTTTTTTTCTTCAGTTCAGATCGACCAATGGAACAAGGGTTTTTCAGTTGGATAGCTTCCCAAATCTTCAAAGCAACAATGTTGGTAACGTGTGAAAATTATTAGAGACTTTTCACTCTCCCCCTCCCGAGTAAAAGCTTAAACAAAGTCACAGTGAAAAATGAACAAGTAATATTAAAATTCAAAGAGGTTTGATGTTGATCCGACGTGAAATGGGCCCAATGAAGGGTACTGGGCTTGACTGAAATTAATATTGGGCCTACTTTGTCTCAAAATTAGGTGAGGACCCAATGAAGGGTATGGACACCTCATCATTGGGTTATGGTCCTGAGTCCGTCAGCGCGGCAGGTGCATTTGGCAGTTCCGCCAATCCATGTGGGTTTGATTTTGACCCTTCATCTAACAAGGTTGACTGGTTGCAAATGTCTATCTCATACTATTCACTAAATTAAAACATCCCACAAGTTTTTGGGACAGTCGTCTTTCAGTTGCGGATGCACGTGAAACTCACAATAAATCAGTGGCTGATATTGCTAACTCACGTTTATACGAGTGGGCTCAACGTCCATTTCCTTATCGTAACCAATTTGGACAACGACTTCTTTTGACTTGACAAATGTGTCTGCATATTTTTATTAGCTTAGTAGCAAAAATTATCAAACCCTAATCATGTACTGGCTAATCATGTAGGCTTAGCTTAGAAGGTGTTGGGATTTTGAAACGTTTGGATGTGCGTGTGAACAAAAGAGTAATGAATTCGTAACATTTTATCGTGTATATAAGCGTAAAATTTCAGTAGGTACAATCTCAATCACAATCCTAATTGCTATCCGAACCTTAGTCTATTACTCCAACAACGTAACCATCAAACCGCTTGGACCAAAGAGTTGAGCTCGGATATGAATCCATGGCCATTAGTGGAAAATAATTTCTATATGCTCGACAAACTATGTCAAGCTGTTATAATAGTGGATGGCGGATTTGACATTGTTTCTAAGTTTGACAATTTTTTTTGTAAAAGGTCGACATAATGTGTTGGGCACATGAAAAAGTTTCTCCCATAAGTGGAAGGTAGCTTTTTAGAACTTTAATCCTAAACCCTTTGCAGCTTGTATTATATTTTTCAAGTCAATTTTCTAAATTCTTATGAATAGTGTAATACCCTGAAAATTTAAGCATATGAATTATATATTCATAATTACAAATATGTGGAGAAAAATTGAAAAGTAAATCGATTTATGGTGATGAAAATAGAATTGGGAAAAAATTTAAAGTTTATTTCCGGAAATTATTATAAATTACGAAGTTTGAAGTTTGGAAATTAATTATCTAAAATCCGTAGACCTTTTAAGGTCACTATTTATATTTTTTTAATATAGCCCGATCTCACGAACGCGTAGGCGCAAGCCGTTCGTGAAACAGAGTTATAATGAAGGAGTTATTAATGTTTAAAGTTAGAGATATTTTTGTAATTTTGCTCTTAATTAGAATCCTCCAGAAAATCTGGAGTCTGAGGTGTGCCACCTGTGTGGCTGAGATGAAAAGAAAATAAGAAGAAAAAAAAAGAGGAATGGTTGGGATGAAAAGGAAAGGTTAGAAATGAGGAAAAAGGAGAAGGGGGACGAAGGGGAGGGGGAGGCCGGGAGGAAAAAGGAGGGGAGGAGGGTGCACAGGATCACAGATCCTGGCCCAAAACCCATGCGACCTGTCTCCTCAAACTGGCGGATCCTCGCCGTTTCTCATCCAATTTTCCGACGAATTAGACCTATAAACCGCTCCTAATCATCACCTTGGCCCTCTCTCTTCTAGTTCCACCAAAAAATTAGAGGGAATTTAATCGTATTTTGGTACAGAAATAGTGATGGGTGCCGCGGGAGACATTGCCCAAAATCCATCAATTGTGAAATGATTTCTTACAATTACCTCCACCAAAACCCTTCCCTAGATGGCTGGAACAAAGCCCAAACAATGGTAGGAGCGGCAGGACACCAGAGGTGACGATTCGAGGCCACCCATTTATAGGGTTCCAGCGGGTTCAAGGCAAATTGGAGCCATTCCAGGCGAAACTGGACTTGACCGCATGTGTAAAGTTTGTTCTACTTTTTGAGATCTTTATTTATGTAACTTTTGAGAATTTTTAGAAATAGTTGAATTTTCCGGCGAGTCGGGGTGTCTGACTGCCACCCGCGGTGGCGCACGACCAGGGAGCCGACATTGTGTTTTGATGCAAATTTTGTTATTTTAATTATGCTTTTGAGATCTAACTGTTGTGGTTTGAATATTAATACGATTGTGGTATATGTGGGACAAAATGAATATATTCGGATTTGGTTTGAATTTTGGAATTGTGAACTACAAATGGCTTGATCCCTGTTTAGGGTACATAGGCAGTCTAACGAGACATTAGATGCAACTATAAAACAAGTGAGGTTAAACAATTCGAGAAATAATTTTAATAATGAGAATTGATTTATAAAAGAAAGTGGTGTCAAGTGAGAACAAAATTAGTACGTTGGTGTGGAAATTTTAATTATGAATCATGGATGGAAACAAGGTATATAATTAAAGAATTATGATAGGTGATACTGAAATAATAGAGAGGAATCCTTTATTGTGAATTTGTACTAAGGGAAGGAATTTGGTAAATAATTGGAGTATTTAACTTATGGTTTTTAATTAAAGGTTGGTCATGAATTTAATGTAAAGGATTAGTGAATTGAATTAGGAAATCGGAATTAATGGTAGTCAACTAAACAAAAGTTTAGTTTGGGTCCATCAACCAAATTAATTCCCAAAAATAAATATTTCGGGGACGGGGTGTTACAGATAATGGACCATTCTATGTCATTGTCCATCACACTGAAAACGATGAAAACAATTTCCGCATTTAATATGGGACATGGATGATGAATATCATTTTCAGATGAATCCCTCGACCCATTGTAACTTACAGAAAATCACAGGATGAGAGTAGTTTTCACGGTACAAATATGCAGTCATCATCACGTTTTGTGTCAATTATAAGATGACATGTAGAAAAACGCTAACACGCGACTTATATGATTAGCACAAAATGTCACGGTGACAATGTATCAAGCCTATAAAATCTTTCTCCTGTGAGAGGAGAGATCACGTGACATTGAATTTGGTAGATTCACAAGATATCACCCAAAACAAATAAGAACTAGATCCTTAGAGATGTCTTAGTCAGTAGCTTCAGACAGCACGACGGTAAACCCATAGCCTCACATATTTTATCCATTGTTTAATTTAATGAGAAAGGTCGTAATTTCATAAGGGTTTTATTTTTTTTGTTGGATCAAACGATAGATTTTCTTAGATTAAAGGTTATATTAATTAGTGAAAGATTTGAACTCACAACTTCATGCAAGAGCTAAACACCTTTTCACCACAATGGTAAATTTTCCCCTTAAAGACTTCACAAAAATGCTCCTTCAAGCTCCGGGATCTTTCACGCTCGCGCATGAGCTCGCTGATCCTAACCGTTCCTGCTTTGAGAGCTCCACAAACATGAACGGCCATAGCTCGACTGTATGCCGGGTTAATCTTGACCGTTCCTACATTGTGGGTCAAACAAGCATGAATGACCAGGACTCGGCCGTATGCAGGGCTGATCCTTGCATTTTTTTAGACATAAAACAAATCGGTCTCAACTGTCAATTGGGCTACCAGCCTAAACAGATTGTGAATTGGGCTACATTTTGACAAGGTAAGCTGTAATCATCAGCAAACTTCGGCTCAAGAACTGAGATTTCGTACTTGATAGGTTACAACAATGACTACATTACTCCAAGGGTTTGTCAAGCCATGCTAAATTATCCTTCTATGATCCAAGAAAAAAGAATATAACAGCATACAATTTGAATAACCAAAACAATCTTTATCCGCAATCATGTTTTCCTCGAAACCTTCCTCTTTCTCGATGATCCCTTATGCTTTTCGTCCCTCTTCCTCTTTTTTTCTTGATTGTGGAATGACTTACCGACCAAGGAAGGCTGGTCTTTCAATGCAAAGCTTTTCGCAACATGTCCCAAGTGAAGTTTCTTCACCATAAATATTCTTTTCAGCTCACCACGGTGGGCAGTGTATGCACGAACCCACGAGCAAAATGCGTTTTTGGCCAGTATCTTCATATCCGGCTAAGAAAAGAAATAAAGTCAAATTTGTTAAGGTTAATCACAAAGAATGAAACTCATAAAATATGTCTAGCATAAAGTGAGCTAACTAAACATTGTTCTTAATCGACAAGATATATAAAACTTTCACATAATTTAGGAAAGAAAAAAAATGCAGAAAACCGAATGTAGGGCTTTCTTTACAGCACAAACACAACACCATACTGCATATCCTAAGGCACACCGAAGAAGAATTAGGAGAATAGAAGTACCTTATCGGTAAATGCTTCGAGCGCCTTTTGCAAAGACATAACCCAGGGATGTCCGTCAATGGAAACAAATTTCCTGACATGCTTATGACCATATAGTGGAAAACTATCTAATATTTTGAGGAGGGGAAACTCTGTTAGAGAAACACCATGTTTCTCCAACTCTTTCAAATAATCCATTTCAATTGGCTGTAGAAACAACAATGAATCTCCTCGTTCACCCAGCCGAGCGGTTCTTCCAACCCTACATCAAGAATGAAATAAACATCTTCAGGGAAACTCAATGTAATATCATGAATAACGTTAAAGATGCATGATAGAGTTAGCCTAGGGAAACTTCATGCTCAGAAACAAATCTTGCAACATATAAGCATGTAATTTTAGCCATTGAAAAAGAATATTTTAGTCCATTTTAAATACCAATTAGTTCTTAAATTTTCAAAATTTGAATAAATTCAAGAAAATTTGTTATCGCTAATTGTTTTATGCATCTCTTGAGTCTGGCTAATATAGTTGCACATCCAAAAGAGAAGGGGGATAAAATGGGAAAAGAAAAGGGAAGACAAAGAAGTCCAAATACCTATGAACATATTCAGTAGCCTCGCCTGGAGAATCATATTGTATAATACATTTTACTTTCGGGAAATCCAAACCTCTAGCACAAACATCTGTGGACAAAAGAAGAGCCGATTTTTCTCTTTTGAAGGTCTCAAAAGCAGTTCTTCGGTCCTCCTGCTCCATATTCCCATGTAACCGGAAGGTCTTACAATTAACAAACCTATGCTTAGGTTCTGCATCTGGTCCTGAAGAAGGTTTGAATTGAAACTCACTTAACAAGGAGTAGTGAAAATCCACTGCATCACATGTTGAAAAGAATAGCACAATCTGTAAAATGAGTATGTGAGCGAACTGACAGGGTAGAGCATAACGAAATGAAGTTTGAAAATGGAAGTTTGTCTATAAGACTACTACAACAACAATAACAACCAAGCCTTATCCCACTAAGTCGGGTCGAAGTTTGTCTGTAAGACTGTCCCCTAAAAAAAGCTAGTTTCCATGACCATTAGGAAATGGAAAGTTGATGTGCAGGCTACCTTTTCGGAAGTTTGTCGCTCAAAAAGATACTTTAGAATGGAAAGAAGTACAGCAAGCCGCGCATTACATGGTACTGCAAAGAAGGTTGATCAAAACAATTAATCGCCATATATTTACTTTTATCAACCGGCCCAACAAAAAAAGAAAAAAGGAAAAAGGAAATTTATCGGGACACACCTTTTACATATTTCTGTGTCAATTGAGCAGGAAGTCTATAATCTTCACTAACAGAGCCTGTTGTGTTCATTGTTTGTGTGTCATCATCATCCGCGTCCGATCCTAAATGCTCATGCAATGCAATAGACTGCCTCTTCTTCTCAGGCATGCCAATCATAACAGGTTTCTCTAAACTCATTTTTGCAAGGTGATTGACTTTTTCATTTAAGGTAGCTGATAATAGCAAATTCTGCCTCGGAAACTCATATTTACTTGTAACAGCGACATTCTTAGCGGCAGAGCCATGTTGCCTTGAGCCTAAAAGATCTAGTATTTCCTCTATTTCTTTTCCAAATCCCAATTCCAAAATTCTGTAAAAAGACCATATCGATATTGAATGAATGCAAATCCAACATGGATGATAACAATTATACAACAACATTTGGGCACAATACGTTGTATGTAGCATTATACCTATCTGCTTCATCGAAGATAATCCAACGCAAATTCGTGTGCACGAAAGAAGCAGTATTCTTCAGGTGATCCAAGAGCCGTCCAGGAGTTGCAACAAGAATAGATATGCCTGAAGAGCAGCACATAGTCAGTAAGAAGAAAACATAAAAATCAAAACTTTAACAAAACCCGACACGAAAAATACAATTTCGGCAACCTTTTCGCAGACGGGCCTTCTCCTTAGACCTGTTTTCACCCCCCATTACATAACCCGGAACAATCCAATGAAACCTGTGCAGCACCTTGTGCAGAATCTCGTGAACCTGCAAACACAGCTCCCTCGTGGGCACAAGAACCAGCGCGAAAGTTCCGTCGGAGCGCTGAATCCGAGGCTGGTACAAGTGCAGGTGGTGGATGACTGGAGCCAAATACGCCACGGTCTTCCCCGTGCCGGTGGCCGCATTGACGAGCACGTGGCGGCCGGAGAGGATGACCGGGATGGCTTGAGCTTGGACCAGAGTCGGAGCTTTGAAGCCCAACCTCTCTGTTTTCGATCAAATTAACACAAATTAATCATCTTTTGTTATTTTTTGAGAAAATTAAAGTGCGATTTCGGTGTAAAAAACGAAGAATAAAATCATGGGTTACCTTCGAGTTGTTCGCATAATTGTGTGTGAAGTCCGATACTGGAGAAAGAGCAAGGCGCGAAGATATCGGATTCCTCTGTTTCGGTCGGTTTTCTCTTGGCGGCCACCATTTGAGCTGCTTCTGCTTCTGCTTCTGCTTGTTCTTCCTTGTTCCAACTTCGAATTCGCTTGTTAATAAAGCACATAACCCGACCCGATAACAATTCGTCTTGAACCCTAAATTATTGGGCCTGGACTTACAACTGCTTAAAAAATCAAGTTTTACATGGAAGGCCTAATGTTAAAGGCTTAAATCTTTGAGTCTTTTTAACTCATGGTACAACGCTGGTTGATAATGAGTTTGATATCAAATTATCATACTTCAAATCTCTCGTTGATGATGAGTTTGTACTAAATCATTATAGTTCAACACCTTTGTGGGCTTTAACTCAAATTCCAACCATAGTGTAAATATATCATTGTATTCAATAAAAAGTATTCGTCAATTGGCTCTGAGATTGAATGCCAACGTTGTGATATGGTATAAGAGACATACAAGCATTGGACATGTGCGGGATTGATTCCGGAAAAGGCAAAGAACGTTTTCCGACCATCATACGAGCTATCTAACCACCGAAAATAATTTTGCCTATGTGTGACAAAAAAAAATCAATGGTAAAAGGTACTTAGATTTTTAAAGTTACAATATGCTCCGAACAAAAATACTTATAACAAAAACGCTTGTGAAAAGAAAAATATTTTCTCCACAACCGATGAAAAATTTGCATATAAAATTTAAGTTGGACGCTCACATTCTACCAATAATTTGGGCTTTGGGCCTGGCCCGCACCTAAACTACAGTGCTCGGCCCGCTTGAGCTGAAGACTGATACACTGAAAGAAGGAAAGCAGAAGACCTGCTTATGAACCTCGTCGTCTCTCTTGCATCTTCAACCTCTCAGAAGTCCTGAACCGATCGCATACATCCAACCAATCGGTATGTTTTCATTATTTCGATGCAAATTTCATTGAAAAATTGCATTTTTTTTTTAATTTCTGAAAAATTTGACCTTTAGTTCCTGGTTGGCTATGGCTTAGGGTTTGGATCTGTGAGCATTCGGATGGGGACGCGAAACGACGTTGTGGAGATTGATAGCTTGGAGGAGGGGTTACTTTCAGAAACTGCAACCGAAGCTGAAGGTGAAGAACCAGTTCTGTATTCAGCTTCGTTTCAGGAAAAAGAGGAGAATTTTGTGAAGTACCAAACTGCACGATGGCTTCTCTACTCTGGGCTTTTGGTACTGGCATGGGGGATTGGGATTTTTATGCTGCTTTATCTGCCCGTCCGCCGCTACATTCTGCGAAAGGATATTCGATCGCGGAAGCTCTATCTCACTCCCAATGCCATTGTCTACAAGGTAAATTGGAAGTTGAAGTTTGAGTCTTTATGTTGTTGTTGATGATTTGAGCTCCCAAATGCGGATTTTTGTTCTCGGTTGATTTGATTGTTTGTCGATTGATCAATACTTCGAATGCTGCTGGAATTTGGTTGCTTTTGGTATGTGAAATTATGGGTTGCTGGTTACCATTGGATAATGCTTTGTTTCTTTAGCTCAGTATGCAAAGCCGGTTCCATTTCCAATTTTCGGGGTGTTGAAGAAAGAGAAGCATTTTTTGTTGCCTTCAGTAGCGGATGTTGTGATCGAGCAAGGTAAGGAGCATTGGCAGTTAGTACATAAGTGTTACATTCCCAGATTACTTTTTGATACATATGTTTTATTTTGTGCATTTTGAGGTTTAGTCTTCGAATAATGCCTCGGAACCCTTTATGATACTGTTGTTATACTCAGGATATCTGCAGTCTCTCTTCGGTGTCTACTCACTTAGAATAGAACATGTTGGTGTCAGACGGCCGGCAAGCGATGATGTTCAAATTCATGGCATTGCGAATCCCAGTGCTTTCAGGAAGGTATGTTACTCACCACTTTAGTTAAACACTTATTCGCAGGATATCCCCAATTTTAGAAAAGATGAGTTTGTCTCCCCTGATGTCCGTTTCAGGCAGTCCTCATGCGCCTTTCAAGCATGACTAATGAGGTCTTCTCTAGACAAATTTCCACACTTGAAGATATTCCAAATTTGAAGGTAGGTCATATGCCAGATTATTTTGGTGTGCCAATCTCAATCCTTATCCAAAGAAGCTGAACTTTGTTGGTCATATCTGCAAAGCTTTATCTGGACATATTGATAAATCCTTGATAACTCGTTAGGCCATTAAGAAACTCTTTTTTCCTTTTGTCAGCTTCAGGGGTCCCCGTCAAAGTCTCTCAGGTATGGGGATCTAGTGCTACTACAAAAACTTGAGGAAGTTGGAAGTTCTGTAAAGGTAAAATGCTGAAATTTCTGTTGTTATATTTAAATTGTGTATGCTCTTCTTTCTCATAGACTTGACTTTCATCTGATGTCTATTATGCAGAGGGTTCAAACTATACTTGAGGAGCAACACCCTCAAACACCAGAACCTACAGATGGAAGCGCACGAAGAGTGTTAAATTTGTAATTCTTCTGGCCTTTCACATTCTTAGTTGGATGTTTTTTTTCCGAACGGAAGCTTTTTGTTCAATTATATACTGAATTCTAGAATATCCTACGTCCTGGATATAGTGTGTGATGCAGGATATGCAGAAGGTGGGAAATTTCATGTCAGGCCTTTGTTCGTACAAGTCGCACACCACTACCATGTTATTATCACCTATCTCGTCTGCCAAATCCAGGATTACAACCCCGCAAACGTTATACATTCTTCCTACATTTCTGCTGGTGCCCACTAACAAGGCCCTGTTGATTCCAAATGTACTTTGTATCTTATCATTTGCAAGTATAGAAATTGACCCATGTAAAGATTCATGATTGTCCCTTTGGGGGTTTGTTGTGTGCTGTTCTTTCCATGAAAAATTTAAATTCTTTTTTCTTTCGACCCTTCAATCGTGTTCTCCCTTATACTCTGCGAATAATCGTATAGTTTCGAGTACAGTATTCAAAACTGTTTATGTATGTATATGCTCTATATGATTGTCCATTTTTTAGCATGAATTCCTTTCCCTTTAGTTGGCTCTTGAATCTTTGAAAAGCATGGCTAGCCAATCAATTTGTGATAGAAGCGAGTGGAGCTGAATTGTGGCCATAGAAAAGTATATTTGATTTCTTTACACGTATGGCTCAGATGTCGCAATCAAACTGTTGACCTATTTCTAACTCTAACTCATTAGTTTGAACAAACTCTGAACTTATTGATTACAATTACTTAAATTTAACATAGATTTACCGGCTCGTGCCTAAGTTGGTTTGGTGTGAACTTTTAATTCCTATTTTTCAGGTAGATCGATGACATTGCCGAAGCTTGATTGTAGAATTGTAGCTCAATTAGTTAAGAGCGTTCACTCTTGCACTTGAGATCTCGAATTCAATTTCCCACTCCTCCAATATCGTTGAAAAACAATGGTGCTGTCCAAGCTTAAACCTAGATTAGCCATTAGAAAACTGTGGATTGACATAAATAACTTGTGTTTGTAGCATGGAGCAACCAACACACTGAATTTGAACTTTGTTAATTAAACAGTCCCGTTAGTGCTAACATGGGATAAGGTTGTATTTATTGCGAGCCACATAAAAGAAGCATCAAAAGTCCGCACTACATATCTGCACTCATTGGTACCAAAGAAAAAAAAATGACAATTCATTAATTGAGACATGATTTTAAATTTTTAATATCCTTCAGAAGTTAAAGTCCGCACTACAGTATCTGTACTCATTGGTACCAAAGAAAAATATGATGGCAGATGATATTGTCAACTAGAGGTATAATATGGATTTTGTGTACCATTATTTTGAGAATCTTCCTGATTGGATTGGAATTCGATTATTTGATAATATGACGGAAGTTCCTATAATAACTCTTTGAGCTAGTTTTTGGGATAATCCACCCATATTACAGAAAAAAATATATGAATTTCGCACTCCGATTGTGTTTAAATCACAAAGTTTTGTGTTTACAATCAGAACCGTTCATATTATGAATCATTATGTTAAGATCATCTCTGCAAAAAAAATAAATAAAACTTAGGTCGTTTAGTCAATATATTGTAACAAATACATAGATAGTTTATAATACTTTTACCAATTCCGTTCATTTGTTTTTATACAGTTTAATGACTAAACGACTTTAGTTTTAATTGATTTTTTGCATAGGCGATCTTGTTCTGATCATAAGCACATAATTTATGAATCGGTAACAAATTTTGAATAAGGGCTCCTACTCATCTATTAAATAGTCAAGTATTGTTCGTTTGTTATCACTGTCTTCCTTCCATAACATTATATATATTTGTTCGTACGGTTTCTATGTGACAAGAGGAGCTATTTTTTGGAGGAGGCAGATTGTCTGCCTCCCATTACCATGCTCTTCCCATCCCCTCCTACATTGTGCGGCCACGGTTAAGCCACGTCAACATTTTATATTAATTTTTTTATAAATATAATAAGACATGTTGACGTGGCTTAACCGTGACCGTACAAATAGGAGGGGGTGGGAAGGGCATGGTAAAAGGAGGGCAGACAATCTGCCTCCTGTTTTTGGAAGCAAACTGGCTTTGGAGAGATGGTTGAGATGAAGTTGGGGAAAAGGAAAGGTGGTTGTGAGTCGTTCTCTCTATCGTACCTTGGCCGTGGCGTGTGGCTTTGCCAACTTAAATTTGTTTAGTGCAAACATGCATGAAAAGGAAATAAGAGAGGGATTTGGTTGAGAAGATATGAGTTTGGCTTACCTATGTTGACTTCTCATTCAATTCTCCCTTCCTTATGTTTCATTTCCTTTTATTTATGTGTATGGATCCTTTCCAACTTCCTATTTTTTGAGGGTGTGTATTTGTATGCATCCACATGTTCAATCCATTTACGTTTTTTTTTTTTGTTTTTTGGATTTGATAATTCTAATTATACAACTCTTAATAGATGCATGTAAAATGTTAGAAACATAGGTTAGGTAGCTAAGGCACGTTGAGACTGTTTTTGAAGTGGTCAAAAGCACTTTTAGGCTTTTAGCGGTGTTTGATAAGAAAGAAAATGTCACATCCCAACCCGAGGTCTACTACATCCCGAGTTCAACTCCTGCCGTAGCACGATATTGTCTGTTTTGGGCCCCGACCATGCCCTCACGGTTTTGTTTCTGGGAACTCATGCGAGCATAACTTCCCAATGGGTCACCTATCTTGGGAATGCTCTAGCCCATTCTCGCTTAACTTCGAAGTTCCTACAAAATCAGAAGTCAGTGAGCTCCCAAAAAGTCTCGTGCTAGGTAGAGATAGGAATATACATATAAGGCTTAGAGGATCCACTCCTCTGGGCGATGTTGGATGTTACAATCCACCCCCCTTAGGGGCCTGATGTCCTCGTCAGCACACTTTCGGCCAGAGATTGACTCTGATACCAAATTGTCACATCCCGACCCGAGGTCCACCACATCCCGGGCTCAACTTCTGCCGTAGCACGATATTGTCCGCTTTGGGCCCCGACCATGCCCTCACGGTTTTGTTTATGGGAACTCATGCGAGTAGAACTTCCCAATGGGTCACCCATCTTGGGAATGTTCTGGCCCATTCTCGCTTAACTTCGGAGTTCCTACGGAACCCGAAACCAGTGAGATCCCAAAAAGCCTTGTGCTAGGTAAAGATAGAAATATACATATAAGGCTTGGAGGATCCACTCCCATGAGCGATGTGAGATGTTACAGAAAATGTGTTTAGACCATCTCCAATCCTTGGGATAAAATCTAAAATTTTAGCCCCAAAAAATTAGGTTTTAATCAGAAACAACTTTTATGCTACAACCCTTAAAACCTAAATTTTTATCCCCAGATTATTAAAGAATTAATATAAAACAAAAACATTAAGTAAATTAAATGTGGACCGTTGGATAACCAACGATCATTTGAATGTGAGCCGTTGATCACAAAAGGAGGTGTTGGGCTCAACTTTATTGCCGACAAGTGACTGACACAACCCACGTGGGTGGGGTCACCACCTTGCAAGCGCTGGAGAGTTGGGAGAGTATGGCGTGTCAGTTGGGGAATTGATCTCCAATTGCTGGTTTTGCACTCGCACAAGTGGGCTAGCCCACTAACTTTGGCCCAAATCTTAGTTGGAATTTGACTTTTTTTTTTAGTTCTAACATTTAACCCCATTTTAGAACAAGGGTTGGAATGAAATGGGGAAAGGGGAGAATAGAAGGGAAATTTTGAGACTTACTCCAAGGGTTGGAGTGGTCTTAGGGAATGTAAAAGCATTCTCAAGTGCTTTTTTAGGTATTCTATGAGGATAATCTTAGGTAGAAATATTTTAAAGTATCTTGTTGAAAACATTTTAGAAACATTTTCAAGTACATTTAAAAAAAAACAATTGATTTTTTATTATGACTTTAATAAAAAAAAAACTATATGGGATGCGCTTGTGATCATATTATTGCTTTCAATATAAACATTCTCAAACAAATACCACGAGTATTTACCCTGCACGAGATCGCTTGTAAGTTGTATACAGAAAATAAAGACATATCAAAGTATATAAAAAGATGCCCTTGAAGAGAATAACAAAGAGAGACCGTGATGCTTGGGTGCCTACGAATCAGATGAAAAACAAACATTGGATTTACCTATGACAATATTTGGATATATATAGTTAGTCCTTATCAAGTCCACCAAGTATACGTGCTCATCTTTCCCTGCTGCATGAACATATTCGTAAGCACTAGTTGATGCCCTTCAAGATTCTCATTTTAATCAATTTCAAAAAAATCACACCAAATTAATTAGAAATTGTCACATCCCGGCCCTGGCCACCACGTCATCCCGGGCTCGACTCCGCTGTAGCACGATATTGTCCGCTTTGGACCCCGACCACGCCCTCACGGTTTTGTTTCTGGGAACTCACACAAGAACCACGCCCTCACGGTTTTGTTTTTGGGAATTCACACAAGAACTTCCCAGTGGGTCACCCATCATGAGAATGCTCTCGCGCGAACTTGCTTAACTTCGGAGTTCCGATGGAACCCGAAACCAGTGAGCTCTCAAAATGCCTCGTGCTAGGTAGAGATGGGAATATACATATAAGGCATAGAGGATCCACTCCTCTGGGCGATGTGGGATGTTACAATCCACCTCCTTTAGGGGCCCGACGTCCTCATTGGCACACTTTCGCCCAGGGATTGGCTCTGATACCAAATTGTCACATTCCGGCCTGGGCCACCACCACATCCCAGACTCGACTCCGCAGTAGCACGATATTGTCCGCTTTGGACCCCCACCACGCCCTCACGGTTTTGTTTCTGGGAACTCACACGAGAACTTCCCAGTGGGTCATCCATCATGGGAATGCTCTCGTGCAAACTCGCTTAACTTCGGAGTTCCGATGGAACCCGAAGCAAGTGAGCTCCCAAAAGGCCTCGTGCTAGGTAGAGATGAGAATATACATATAAGGCATAGAGGATCCACTCCTCTGGACGATGTGTGATGTTACATAAATTAATTAAGCTAAAAGAATGATTTATACGTAGTGTTTTGGCACTTAAAAACTCATTTTGTCATGCAATTTTTGTGATATGGGGAAAAGACAATTGCATTTGAACACGGATTATTTGTCATGTGATTAAAACCGTGAAGTAAGATGGTCGATGAGTTTTAGGAGTCAGAGCATCAATGCCTGCACGCCCTTGGCCTTTTGCATGCACGACGTGTTTTTCAGAGACAAAAGTTTCATCCAAGATGCTGCTTTTTGCTGATAGTTTGGCATGCAGTAAATTGGAGGCTTTCTCTAAAAATCAGAAGGGTGATTTTGGTTTTGGTCCCTAATTAATTTAATTGTTAAACTGAAATTTTGTTTGTTCAAATATTTAATCAAGATTCTTAGCATCATTTAAAGGCTTTAGTTTCTACATTTATGCATTCAATATCCCACAAATAATGAAATTAAAAAAAATTCAAATAATATTTTTAAAATATAATA